TCAAGGTACTTATACATGGAAAGTTTGTCTTTTTAACATGCCTGTATGCCTACTGAACACGTGATGGATCGTCAATGAAATTCTCTTTCGTAGGAGATTTATCAAATGAATCTTAGAAGTTTGCATACAGGTCAAGTGTCACATTTAAAATGGATCAATTTAATTCTTACTAATATTTTTCGATTATAGTTAAAATGAGGTTTGACTGGTAGCAAATACCTAAAGAAGCCCACTGTAGGGATGAAACCGGTCGACACATCTAACAAACTACAAGAACTACCTGCTCCTTTGCCTGTTGTGATTGAATCTATTTCCTATTATCATATTTGTGACAATAGAGTGATTGTATGATAGTTTGGTAATAACTTAACATTACACTTAATTTTGTCCTTCCATTGCATTTAAATAACAAAAGAGAAAGCTTAGGAATCCTGTGCAATGTGTTGAGAGATCTGCATTATGACAACACTCGTACATGTACAGTAAGGAGGGTGTTCGGTGGAAGTTTGATCTTGTGTTGAATATCATTTGATTCACAGCTTTACTCAAATTTCTTACTTTGGCTTTTAAAATCTACTTTACCTATCACAGCAGGTAAAAGATGCTTGTGATAGAGTCTGATACTCAGTGTGTGCTGTACTACATAATCACGTTTAGATGATTTCGATCAGTGCAGGTTTCTTATCTTCACTACAGGTTCACATATCACATTATTCAAAGTGCCATTACATTGATAAAATAATTGTTAAAAAGCAGAGCTAAAAGTATGTGTAGGTGTGTTACACATTTGGCAGTGTCTGGATGGTGGAGTTGATCTGTATCTGAGGTACATCAGTATGTACTATATATATTAGTAAGTGGATGTATGCCTTGGAGTTACATATATCATAGTACTAGTACTGTCTAGAGCAAAGGTGAAGTACATGTATAGTCTGTGTCATACCAGTGTAGCATATCTTAAAAGTGAAAACATCTTCACATGTTATGTAGAGAGATTTACGAGGGATTTGTTTCAAGTTTACACCCAAGATTAGATGGAAATGTTTTGGAAATGGGCGCACCCTAGTGTAGGCGTTGTAATCAGGGGGAGACTACTACCAGTGGTGTGAAATCTTACAATATGAAAATTATCAGCTGGAGAATAAAAAACCATCAGATCTGTTGCATATCAACAAGCATGTCAGCAGATCCTTGGCTACCAGTGTACATGTGTGGATATGATGGTACCAAATTTTGATACAGAATATTACAAATACTGGTGTCATGCATGTAGTTGCATTAAGGCTTTGCCCTGACTCCTGATCTGGGACAGAAGGAGGGATGGATGAGTGGGAGTAATGTAAATGTTGGGGTTCGTGTACATGTGTGTGGGTGTGTGTGTGTAGAGGAGGGTTATAATAAGAATAATAAAAAAACTAGCAGAGGTTGGGAGGGGAAAGAGGTTTATGTGGATGACATACAAGTTTGGTCAGTAGGAGGAAATATGATTGATGGAATGATGTAACAGTTTTGGCTGGGGAAATACAAAGTATAGTTGAGATTGGGGGGGGAGGGGGGGGAGCAAGAGGACAGAGGGGAGTATTTATAATGTAAATGTTCTGGGTAGGGGAATGGAGAGGAGATGGGTGGAGTAATGTAATTGATAGTTAACATTGTGGTTTGGGAGGGACTTTGGGATGCATATAGATATGTAGTTGTGGTCAGAGTTTGGGTTACTCAGTATCTAAGAAAAAGAGTGAATTCCTTTGAGAAAAACCTTTCACAGTCTGATGACACGTTGTGTGTCTCCCACTTGACGTAATATATGTCCTTTATACCACACTATTTTACATATTTAGTTTACATACAAAATTATAGTATCAGACTGGCAAATAGCTGACTGATCTGCCTCTGGCCATTACCTGGACATTTTGTAACAGCTGACAGACTGTCATAACACATTTAGAAAAGCAACACCTGTGATGTCAATTAAATAACTCTGTAACAACAGTGATCTGGCCATATTGTAGCAAAATGAATCCCACGTCTTCAGAGAATCTAACATGTTATGCAAACATTTCTGTTAAAAAGTAACACTACATATGCATGCTGCCCAACTAACAGGATACTGCAAATACAACACCGCCTAGGTTATATTGATGTTAAGATGAATAGAACTCTCGTCTAAAATTAATGTTGTGCACATGTACATGCGACTATATGAATGTGTTATTGATTATTAGAATTCATATTAGGGCTGCATTTCATATTATTACAAACAATTTGAAGGTATTAAAACGATCCTATTTTATGATCTGAAATGACACCAGTAGTGTTAGAATATTTATACTAATTGGTTGAGTAGGTATGCATTGACCTAAGTACCATTTGCAAACTTTCCAAAAGTATTGCTCTACAGACACAAAACACATATAGAGATGTTGCATTTATATCAATACCTAGATTAGTATCTCCCGGAGGTTAAAGTTGGGGTATATTTTCGTTGATGTACAAGTCTTTTTGATTCTGCTATATGGTCATTATTAGCTTATCAATGGAAAATCAATGTTAAAAAAAAGAAATTGATTTTCTTAAAAGTTTAAAATCATGACAAAAAATTCATTTCATATATATACAGATTGCATGAGTATGTGAGGTTCATGTTTATAAGGCTTAAAAATATATGTATGTTTCAGGTACCCACCTTATTTCTACTTTCGACCCTAACAATTTCATCTCGCTCAAAATGCACTTAATCATCCCTAACAACATGCTAAAAACCGGGGTGTATTTATGACACCGTTCTATTTCACTGGCAGGTGTCAAATCTGACATATAAATCCCATAATATTATTAAAAAAGACATGAAATAAAATATGAAAAATTAATACAATTGGTCTAAATAATTGGTTAATTTTGTAATTACTTAAATCAGAACCCCCGCCCAAAAACCCCCCATAGTTTTTGGCCTTTAGCTAAGGACAACTACCTACAGTGTGTTGTGTACTACAGTACCTGGGTCTGTTTTCTAAATTAGATGAATCAGAGTGCAACTGTCTAACTGGCTATGATAATAGCCTGAGGCCACTCTTTATGAGGTTGGATTAATCTTAGTCAGCTCTCCATGGATAATTGGTATTTAGTTCCTGTTACTGGTGTTGTCAAGTACAATCTACCATAGTCAGACAGTACTAGTAGATGTCCACTTCTCATGGAAAAGTAATATCAGTTAGCTATAGAGTCTATATGTTATCACAGACACTATACCCGACCTTGATGCCAGCTATAGAGTCTATATATGTTATCACAGACACTATACCTGACCTTGATACCAGCTATATAGAGTCTATATGTTATCACAGACACTATATACCTGACCTTTATGCATGGCTGAACAGGTTTATCTGGTAGATCCATAAAACAAAACGTGTCTTGACCATTAAGACAATGGACAGTATCAAATGGATTATTCATGATTAGTGTTTTCCACAAAACACTTTCTGATCATTTGACAATTAAAGTCAAACAAATAATAGAACATTATATCCAATTTCTTGAATGAAAATGTCAACTCAAGTCTTTCTGCATGCAATAAAGCCCTTTCTCCTGAACAAAACCTTGACATTTAACGTATAACATGTGTCATATAATAATGAGGAACTCGTATAACATGTGTCATATAAATAATGAGGAACTCGTATAACCTGTGTCATATAAATAATGAGGAACTCGTATAACATGGGTCATATAAATAATGAGGAACTCGTATAACCTGTGTCATATAATAATGAGGAACTCGTATAACCTGTGTCATATAATAATGAGGAACTCGTATAACCTGTGTCATATAAATAATGAGGAACTCGTATAACATGGGTCATATAAATAATGAGGAACTCGTATAACATGGGTCATATAAATAATGAGGAACTCGTATAACATGGGTCATATAAATAATGAGGAACTCGTATAACATGGGTCATATAAATAATGAGGAACTCGTATAACCTGTGTCATATAATAATGAGGAACTCGTATAACCTGTGTCATATAATAATGAGGAACTCGTATAACATGTGTCATACAAATAATGAGGAACTCGTATAACATGTGTCATACAAATAATGAGGAACTCGTATAACATGTGTAATATAATAATGAGGAACTCGTATAACATGTGTCATATAATCATGAGGAACTCGTATAACATGTGTCATATAATCATGAGGAACTCGTATAACATGTGTCATATAATAATGAGGAACTCGAGCAGTGTTTTTGCAAGGCTCCACCATAAACGAATTAACATATTGTCACGAAAAAAGGTGCATCTTTTATCTTTTATTGGGGCAGGAACTGGTGCATACATGTATATCTCCCTAGTACGAGTGACAAATTAGAGTTATCTTCCCCCTCTGTAGAAACATATTCACAATTTCATATTAAAAGGTTCTCGATTGTAGGGATCTTGAAACAGTGGGACATGTAAAACTCTATGGCGTTGGGATCTTCAAACAAGCTGTAAATTAAACAATAATCATTGTGAATTGCCAAAAAAGAATATGGTATTTCCCTTGCATTTGGAATGTAAGCATATTTGAAATTTTTAAACCTCTGATATTGACCTGATAAAAGTTATGTTGCCATGAACCGCATTTCTGAATTTTTCCATAACACAAAAAGGTTGATAAAAGAAGGTTAGGGCTACAGTATGACAGATAAAAAAAATCCCTTGCATGGTCTCCTTGTGACTGTAAAGAACGGATCAAATGATGATGTTAGTTTCTTTATTTGTTCTTTATAATAACACACAATTTGGACAATACAATAAAGTTATGATATTCAGGCATATAGAGTATTATACAGTATCTGCAAGTAAAAAATGGTAACAAAAATGTGTTATACGGAAGCATCAATACATCCTCCCTGTCTTTTATCAGACGAGGAAAAACCGTAGCGTGGGCATAGTACATTGTATTACCAAAGAAATAATAAGATTGTTATTTTGTGTGTGTTTGTAGGTCAATGTACGCGTCACCACCTTGGACGCTGAGTTGGAGTTTGCCATCCAGCAAAGCACCACCGGCAAACAGCTCTTCGACCAGGTAAGCCATCTCTCAATACAAATCCAGACCAGTCCTGAGTAGAACATATCCTAAAGGGAATGTACAATGTTTTTAATCGGTAACACTACTGCATTTTGCTGCAAGTTAGTAAATATTATTGAATATTCTGTTAGATTTTGTATGTGCCTGTCAAGATTACTGTAGAATTTGCAGTGTGAAAGAAATAGATTTACAAATTTTATTTTTCAAACTGCAATATGTTAGCGTATCTGGTCAACTTCTATCTTCCTTATTTACAATATCATGTATTACACATGACATTAACAATCATATTACTACTTAGGTTTTAGTATTCTGATTTACATACACTTGTTGTTTCAGGTTGTCAAAACTATTGGTCTGCGAGAGATCTGGTTCTTTGGTCTCCAGTACATTGATACCAAAGGATACACAACCTGGTTGAAACTCAACAAGAGGGTAAGGTTTCTCTGTACTATATCTGACCCTTGGTTTCCTGGATGTATGTCTGAAAAATATTTGAATAATAAATTAACACCTAGCATTAAGAAAGGGTTCCTTTACACTTTGCTATTGCGTTGAGAGATTACTTGAATACCCCTGTTACCTTGAAGTCCATATTTGGTTCTGTGACAGTTAATGATGTAACAATAATCAATTTAGGAGAGAAAATTAGCTGGTAATGCTTCTGATTTTCAATAGTAATATAAAGAATAATTCGGCTATCAAAGAAAGAGGCCAATTAACCCTTTCACCCCTATGTAACTTTAGTAGACTCTACCAGGCATTGATTTGGATGAGTCCATTATGTTCTGCAGTGGTGACAGGGTTAAAGATCAAGTAACTGTTATTTAACGGAGAGAAACAAGCGTAGAAGTACTTACAAAACTTTAATGAACCATAGAAGGAATACGTTACTCGTGAAACGGTATTTTATTTTGTTAAAGCTGTTAGTACTTTCCAACCATAAAATTCATACACACACACACAAAAAGTTTGAATATTTGTTTTTAATATCATTGCCACATTATTAAGAATTGTCTTAACCTGGGATTCTAAATATTGAAAACTGACAAAGTTAACTGTAAATGCAAATTACAAATTGTGGTTTGCTTTCATTAATGTTCAGAATTAATGTGACATGCCATATATTAGAGCTCCAAAATAGTTAGGATTATCCTGGATTGAAAACCAATCTACAACCATCAAGCGCTGGATTGTCATTGAAGTTAACAGCTCAAAAGTACAGGTAATTGTTGAAAAAATTGAAATTAGTTAAACATGTTCGGAACATTAGCAATTGCAAAGATGTCTTGTTGATAATATCTGCCATAGAAATAGTTATCCATCTTTCCCTTCTGTGTTCTCATCACACATATATTTCTATTATCAGGTCTTGAATCAAGATGTCAAAAAAGAAACGCCGGTTCAGTTCAAATTTAGAGCGAAGTTTTTCCCAGAAGATGTTTCAGAAGAACTAATTTTGGAAGTCACACAGGTAAGTTAACCACTATGACTCTTCACAACTGTGGTCATGGTACGATATGTATCACAATACATATAGTAACAGTAGAAGCAAAGAGAACAGATATGTTGCAAATTTTTAATTGCAATTTTATAACTGGAAATAGACTTGGCCCAAAATAGCTTTAAAGTTTTTCACAATTGTGTAGCGTACCGCTGTATAACGTTACAGCCCTAGTCAACATGCAAATGTTGATTGTCATTCACATTTCATGGAGTTTTCCCTATGAACTCGCAAAAAGGATCATAAAAACATCATCGATTGAATTTAGGTGACTTTAAACCTGGGTATGGACCTATGCTGAATGACTTATGTTAGAGCTGTGCTGAATGACTTATTATAGAACTCTGCTGAATGACTTATGTTAGAACTCTGCTGAATGACTTCTGTTAGAGCTGTGCTGAATGACTTCTGTTAGAGCTGTGCTGAATGACTTATGTTAGAGCTGTGCTGAATGACTTATGTTAGAGCTATGCTGAATGACTTATTATAGAACTCTGCTGAATGACTTCTGTTAGAGCTCTGCTGAATGACTTATGTTAGAGCTGTGCTGAATGACTTCTGTTAGAGCTGTGCTGAATGACTTATGTTAGAGCTGTGCTGAATGACTTATGTTAAGAGCTGTGCTGAATGACCTGTGTTAGTCACTGAATATCTTATGTTAGAGCTATGCTGAATGACTTATTATAGAACTCTGCTGAATGACTTCTGTTAGAGCTGTGCTGAATGACTTATGTTAGAGCTGTGCTGAATGACTTCTGTTAGAGCTGTGCTGAATAACTTATGTTAGAGCTGTGCTGAATGACTTATGTTAGAGCTATGCTGAATGACTTATGTTAGAACTCTGCTGAAGGACTTATGTTAGAACTCTGCTGAATGACTTATGTTAGAGCCGTGCTGAATGACTTGTTAGAGCTGTGCTGAATGACTTATGTTAGAGCTGTGCTGAATGACTTGTGATAGGTTTTATATCAGTTTTGTGTTCTACATTTGAATGAAATTGAAATCAAGGCTTGACATTATTGTCTTAAAAATCATTCTAAAAACTGCCATTGTTTTGCAGAGGATGTTTTTCCTGCAAGTGAAGGAAGGCATTCTGAGTGATGAGATATACTGTCCACCGGAGACCTCCGTCCTGCTGGCTTCCTATGCGTGTCAGGTCAAACATCAAGGCAAGGAAGGTGTCGACCTGGCCAATGATACGCTCCTTCCCCAGAGGTAGGGCACATGGAGACTAAGGAGAGAGAATTCAGATACACAATCAAAGCACTAGCAGCATTAAGGGGCATTTCTGGCCTCATCAGCATTTATAATTAGTTATTATATTGGTAATCTGGAATAAATGAAGTACGCAAATATGAAATTTAAAGTTCATTCGACAACTTGTTTTGGAGATACGACATTATAAAGGTAGAGAGATAAAAACCTATCATCTGTTGTGCGCTATTTGGTTGAAAAATGGCCATTTTGAAAGAAATTAATTCAACAGTTTGCAACTTTGAAAGTCTCCGCATGTAACAAACAAATAAATATTTGACATGCTTAAACATTGTCATACCAATGTTCATTCGTCGAAGGGAATGTTTGTGACATGCAGAGGCCCTCATTTCTGTTTGCAAATTGTCCAAAAACTGGATATTTTGGCTATTTCTGCATAGCAATTCAATTGTGTTGCTATGGAAGGGCATATACCCATGCACATTGGAAAAAAATCTGCAACAAGAAAGATAGCCCTAATTAACCAATATAATTTTTTATAACAGAAATTGGTATTAAAATAAGATTAAGTTGAAATTGTTTACTTTTTATGAGGCCAAAATTGACCTATAATGCCTTTTGTTCCCTCAGGATAACATGGACAGAAACAACAAAGATTCACCTTGTATTTGAATATCATTTCAATAATGCTTACACTTAAGCAATTCTAGAAACATGAATTAAAGTGATGTTTATTATAACAAGTTTTCCCAAGGTTGGGCATTATTATCATACTTGTGAACAAATCATTCAACACTATTTCTGCCTTAAACCAGGAGACCTTGCTTTTGTCCGATACATTGCATCATCATTGGTTTACATTTTAAAAGGTGAAAAATTGAGGCATTAATAATGCTCAAATAATTTTACAACTAATAATTTCAAGACTTGATATTTAAATTTGATTATTATTGAAGATGAATGTTTGGTGTATTGTATTGATGTTTGAAACCAATTTTTTTTCTCAAAGGTTTTGATGTCATTACTAAAGATTTGTTACCTTATTTTGCTATCGGAATAAATAGCAGATGATAAGTGCAAATTTTCAATTGCACAAAATTTCAAAATGATATGAGCTTGTTTTATGTATGTGTTTTAGAGTAATTGATCAACATAACCTCACCAAAGAGCAGTGGTACGAACGCATCGCAAACTGGTACGCAGAGCACAAAGGAATGCTTGTGTAAGTATAGTTCAGAACCAGATGTAAAAAGATTCCTGGCAGACATACAAAAACAATTTTTACAATATCTAGAAATTAAAAAGGCTTAAATATACTTTTAAAACAGACCAACAGTATTCTTAATTTTACAGAAATTGTACAATTACAATTTTGGTATAGACAGATTGTTCATTGATTCAAGGGACATAACTCTCTGATTTCTTTAAACATAACCTGATGACTAACATTTACAGATGTGACGCCATGTTGGAGTATCTTAAAATAGCACAAGATTTGGAAATGTATGGTGTGAACTACTTTAAAATTAAGAACAAGAAGGCCACCGTGCTGTTATTAGGTGTGGATGCCCTCGGACTCAATGTGTATGAAGAAAATGATAAGTAAGTAGTCTTTAAGAACCACCACCAACTTTAAATAGTTGTTGTAAGTTTAAAAATGTCAGATGAAATAAGAATGTATTTTGATTTTAAATTTAATGATATCACTTAAAATTGCAAAATAGATTAGTATTTTGGATATTGGTTTGAAGCATGTGCTGAATAAGGCCACGTAAAATTTAGTGTAGATGACACTTGGTGATTTATATAAAAAAGAAGAGGTAACAGACACTTACACTCTAAGCTTACTATTGACACTGTAGCAAACATAGTCCTCTTTACACTAATGGATTTATTTACCAAACTACCTTACTCTTCTGAGTAATAATTATTGTCATTGATTGTTTACATTGTTATAAATGATCTCATTAAAGTAGCAATTACATATAGATATTGAGTATGAAATTATAAGGTTTTCCAGTGAATTGCATTACTTTTGTTAGGACATCATTTCTTGAATTCAAATTCAAAATTTGAACTATTGTAATTGTTCTTTTTTCAGATTGACCCCAAAAATAGGATTCCCATGGAGTGAAATTAGCAATATCTCCTTTAACGACAAGAAATTTATCATCAAACCTATCGACAAGAAAGCACCTGCAAGTATTTTATAACCTGTTGTTGTTGATTCAGTATCATTCTTTTAAAGTGATTTTATGTTCAGATATTAGAGATCATTGAGAGTGTTTTGTATACTGTAAATCATGTTTACTATATACATGCTTTGTACAATTCATTATTATAACAAAGTTCTAATTATACCATGTGGCATGTTATTACTTTGAACAACACATGTGTAGCAAACTATTTTCTTAAGTGACCTTTGTTTGTTATAAATGAATTTTAATTTCAAAATCTGTTGGAGAACTTCATGTACGGTTTCTGGTTTATGAAGGCTTGCTTATAATTACAAGATAATATATTTCTGTTTTCTGTAGAAGCAACTTCCTTGAATATTACATTAAGATATAAATGAAGTTGTGTTTCTCTCTGTCAGTGTATTTTTTTGTAATTTTGAGGTGATTGTCTCTAAATTATGAGGTTTCTTTCTTATTTTGTAGGACTTTGTGTTTTATGTAGAGCGTCTTAGAATAAACAAAAGAATCCTTGCACTTTGTATGGGAAATCATGAACTTTACATGCGCCGTCGCAAGCCTGACACTATTGAAGTGCAGCAAATGAAGGCACAAGCCAAGGAGGAGAAAATGGCAAAGGAGCTTGACGCACTACGACTACGAGAGGCAGAGGATGCACAGCGACAAGCTGAGGAACAACGCCGCCTGGTGGAGGAAAAACTCATCATGAGGGAGGAACAACTCAGGAAGCGAGAGGAGGAACTCAAACTGCAGCAGGATGGTCAGTCTCGTGGAAATTGTTACAATTTAAAATAAAGATATATTGGAAGTAATCATCTGTTCTTGGCTAAAGAAGTACTAAATTTGTCATCAAAGTTGTACTAAGTTGAGAATGTAATTACCACATCAGGCCGATTGATGAATTTCTGTCATATATATTACAAACTTGGTATTGATTAAACCGGTCTTATGCTCAAACTGAAGTTGTGTGCTCAAACTGAAGTTATGTGCTCAAAACTAGCTTTCCAATACTTCACCCAGATCTTGCAAATGGGGTTGGTAACCCATTGTATTCCTAACTCTTCAATAACAATGATGGACAAATTATTTACATTGTGAAGAAGTTATCTCATGTAACTTTCTTATTTGCAGTTTCTATATGATCTCTAATGTTAGGAAAACTTGACATTCCTATTCATCAATCAATTACTCGTGATATATGGAGAAGAAGGGACAACTTGTTTCTATATTTCTTACAGAGCGTATGGAGGTTGAGAGGAAGCTGAGTGATATGGCCTTGCTGTCATCAGCTGTAGAAGAGAAACAGTCGATGCTGGACGACACCACCAGACGCATGGAAGACCTCGAGTCACGGCTTGAGAGTATGAAGGAAATGAGTGAAGCAGAAAAACAAAAATTGGTACATATTTTTAAACAAAATTCTTTCTGTAAAATGTACACATTTGTTCTGTCATAGACTATTTACATTTTTAGCTCACCAGTGCCCACTTGTATAAAACATCTCAAAGTTAAGAAAAATCTTAAGCAATGTATTGTCTATGGGAAATCTCAGACTTGAGGAAATCTCAAGTGTTGAGATGTTTTATACAAGTGGGCCCTGGTCCAAAGGACCAAGGTGAGCTTATGCCATACCGTGGCGTCCGTCGTCCGTCCGTACGTCGTCCCTCGTCTGTCCGTCAACAATTTCTTTAAACGACTTCTTCTTAACCACTGATTGGAATTTAACTAAATTTGACTGGAAGCATCCTTAGGTGGTGGGGAATCAAAATTGTACAAATGGTGGGGCTGACCCCCCAGGGGGCTTAGGGGTGGGGCAAAAAGGGGGCAATTGGCTATATTGCTTTAAGCGACTTCACCTCTAGAACTAAGAGATAAGATATCAACCATATTTGACTGGAAGCATCACTAGGAGGTGGAGATTCAAAATTGTACAAATGGTTGGGCTGACCCCCCAGGGGGCTGAGGGGCGGGGCCAAAAAGGGGGCAATTTGGCTAGATTGCTATAAATGACTTCTTCTGTAGAATTATGCACTGGATATCAATCATATTTAATCAAAAGCATTCATGGGATGCAGGGATTCAAAATTGTACAAATGGTGGGGCTGACCCCCCAGGGGGCGGGGCCAAAAAGGGTTATTTGGCTATATTGCTTTAAAGCGACTTCTTCTCTGGAACTAAGTGATGGATATCAACCATATTAGACTGGAAGCATTCCTAGGTGGTGGGGATTCAAAATTGTACAAATGGTGTGGCTGACCCCCCAGGGGGCTGAGGGGCGGGGCCAAAAAGGGTTATTTCGCTATATTGCTTTAAGCGACTTCTTCTCTGGAACTAAGTGATGGATATCAACCATATTAGACTGGAAGCATCCCTAGGTGGTGGGGATTCAAAATTGTACAAATGGTTGGGCTGACCCCCCAGGGGGCTGAGGGGCGGGGCCAAAAAGGGGGCAATTTGGCTAGATTGCTATAAACGACTTCTTCTGTAGAACTATGCACTGGATATCAATCATATTTAATCAAAAGCATTCATGGGAGGCAGGGATTCAAAATTGTACAAATGGTGGGGCTGACCCCCCGGGCTAAGGGGTGGGACCAAAAAAAGTTTATTGCCTGGAAATGGTTGAGATCCCCACCATATAACCACATATACAATTGCTGAGTATAAAGAGAAGAATGCACATTTGCTTCCAGGATGGCCCTAGGGTCTGGCCCCACCCTTGGAAACATAGTCCTTGGGCCATAACTTTAAAACGGCTGAGATCCCCACTCAAAAACTATATATACAAATGCTGGGCATAAAGAGACGAATGCAGTCACAATATTAGAATAGACCCTGGGGTCTGACCGAACCCCTAGGGACCTAGTTTCTTAGTCACAGCTTGGAAACAGTTGAGATCCCCACCCTATAACCATATAGACAATTGCCGATTACAAAGAGATGAATGCACATATGCTTCCAGGATGGCCTTGGGGACTGCCCCACCCTTGGAGACTTAACCCCTGGGTCATAACTTTGAAATGGTTAAGATCCCCACCCCAAAACTATATATACAATTGTTGGGCATAAAGAGACAAATGCAGTCATGATATTAGAATTGACCCCAGGGTTTGCCCCACCCTTGCAGACTTAACCCCTGGGTCATAACTTTGAAACGGTTGAAATCCCCACCCCAAAACTATATATACAAATGCTGGGCAAAAAGAGACAAATGCAGTCATGATATTAGAATTGATCCTGGGGTCTGGCCACAACCGTAGGGACCTAGTTTCTGAGTCACAGCTTGGAAACAGTTGAGATCCCCACCCCATTACCATACATAAAATTGCTGGGCATGAAAAATTGAATACAGATATATATGCTACAAGGATTGGCCTTGGGGTCTGGCATATTCCCTTGGATCTCATTTGGAGAATATTCTGCCATGATTGCTTAGATATCCAGGTGAGCGATACAGGCCCTATGGGCCTCTTGTTTAACCATTATACAATTTTACAGCTTGTGTGAACATTGTTTATACATCATATTCTAGTTTTGATCAAGCATTTGCTAACTTTGTATTACATGTACCACAAAATTAAAGGTGTTAATTGTTTTTTGGTGGTTTTATGTGATAGAGGTGGTTTCTGTTGTTGCCTTTAACTGCAGTCTTGTATGAAACCGGCTTTGCAATTTTCACTAATGTCATGTTTTTAATTCCTTACTGAGGGAATGGCAAACTATTTGACTAACTAATGGTGACGTAAGCTAAATGCTAATTTGGGCTTGCTTAAGGTCTGCGTTGTGTACTGTTATACCTGAAGATATTAAAATTAACAAATAGCTATTATAGAAAACACAGACAATTAACAAATAGCTATTATAGAAAACACAGACAATTTACAATTATAGTTATTATAGAAAACACAGACAATTTACAATTATAGCTATTATAGAAAACACAGACAATTTACAACAATAGACTTTTGTTACGGTGAACATGATTTGAACCAGAAAAAGTGATAGAGATGGAGCCAGAACTGAGGCCAACATCCCATTTTGAGGTTCACAGCACATCTTATTTACCATCTTAGAATGTCCATAATTGTTTTATTATTTGCTTCAAATATTAAATTGAAAAAAAACCATTCAGGTGAATAATTGGATGGTTTGGTTGGCAGTTTTTTTGCCATATTTGTCTGTTCAAACCACTTTCTTAGGAACAATCAGGTTCAAATGTTATGTTCAAGAATTTTATGATTCTATGTTGAAAGAGATAACAAACTTTTCAAATATTTATGAGATAAGTTTAAGTTACCATTACTTACCATTAATATGTGTAGGGAATTCCCCTTAAGGTGATATTCAAAATTCCACTCGCTGAAAAACCAGTCTATGAGTTTTTGAGAAGTAGTCACATGTATAGAATTCAGCCATCTGGATTATGAGAAGTTATCAAGTATACAATATTACAAACTAAACACTGCATTGCCTTCTGGATAAGGTTATTGTTGGTATTATTGTGATTAACTTTGGACATGTCATTGCATCATCGTTTTTGATATATGGGACATGTTATTGTTCGTATTGTTGATATATGGGACATGTTATTGTTTGTATTGTTGATATATGGGACATGTTATTGCTGGTGGTGGAAATCTTGGTGATATTTCAGTAATCATTTTGATTAGTGATAGAAAATTGTAGACTTTTATATTGCATTTTGCTAGGCATCGACACAAATAGATATGGTATGTATTGTCACACATGGAGGCATTTATAAATTGTGCATTTTGTCAGCAGCATCAACGGGAGAAGAATCATGTTCTGAAAAAGGAGGTGGGGGGGATCTTGTTCTTGGAATTATCTTCTAATGATCATGTGGAATTTGATATCTTGAAGATGAATATTTCTTTCATAACAGTTTTTATTTAGTATTTTTTTTCCCGTTATTATATCTTGCTGATAACATTTGTACACATTTATCAGATTCATCGATATTGGAGGCTACACTACGCTGAAGTCTGAGATATGCACAATTTTGTCTAATTATGATGGAGCACAGCAAGAATTTAAAGTCTGAAAACTTTTCAAAAATAATGTGTTACGATTACTTTGAAAACATGAAAAAAATATTCTGTACAGAAAAGAGATTTGTTTTTAAATATATATATAGTATTAATCAGAAAAATGATCCATACGGACGAAGAAATATTATATAAAGAAAAATTCATAACAACGAAAATATATAGTATATATATATATTTAACCAGTAATTTTATTGATGGTTATGAAATTCTTGATGGGCTCTGTCAGATACATGAGTGGCTGTTCAAAATGTACACATCCAATACTTATGTGTAAAACTAAACATGAGGGATTTCAGGTATTAAGGTCAATCAATTTCCCCTTTTTACAGTATCTATACACACCCATATCTATCATTAATACATATGTATCATACATAGTCACTAGATCAAGAAATAGCACATTTCATTAATGTTTTTCTTATTTGATTTAATAGGTATGTATGTACTGTCCCAGGTCATATTTACAGTATGGTTTTGACGGTAAAACTATTGTATTATTTCAACACAGTACCAGGTATACACTGTACTGGTCCTAATAGTAGCCTGGCCCATACCAAACGATAAAAATGAAAGTTTGAGGATGGGCGATTATAAGAGACAAAATTTGAAAATGGTAAAATCAAGCTCTGTAATGCCTGTATGTAGTGTACAAAGAATGCCAGACTGGTTTCTGTACAGACTGGTAGTTCTGCTGATAGTACACAGAATTGTATCTTTAAATGTACATTTTGAGGAAAAACTTGCAATGAGCATATTCATGCATCATTGAACTGTTACACCTTTACTCGGTCAAAGCTGGATGACCAGATTTCTAGTGGCCCCATTACAAAAATGTCACTTGTGGTTATACAGTGGCACACTCAATCTATATAGGAACTTAACTGCAGTAAAAACTATATGTCAAATGGTAGCTAGGAAGCTGGAATACACCACTCCCATGAAATAGACCAAACTTAAGGTTAGACATGTATGTTTATGTTCATTATAAGGTTATCTTCAAATACCTATGCCTTTTAAGTGTGCGAGCATGGATGCAATTTTGTATACAGACCCCCAATCTATCGAGGATTTCCTCAGGCCTTTAGGCACTATTGTGGCTTTCTGGACATGAAGAAGTGGTCATCTGAATAGCTTACCACCCAAGTGTCCTTAGCTGGACAAGTGAATAGAGGGCATCAATTAAAAATATGATCAAAGTTTAAGAAGGACAATATTCAGGGTTACATTGATTGAAAATAAGAAACCATGCCAGAAGGGGGTTGGGTGATTATTGACATAAGAAACCATGCCAGAAGGGGGTTGGGTGATAATTGACATAAGAAACCATGCCAGAAGGGGGATGGTGATTATTGACATCATAAACAAAACCTGTTATTGTTCAATCAGCAAACTTTTGCATGCAAGTATTTACATATATTCATGTATTCACATTTAAAAACTAACAAAATCTGACCTGAAGCATATAGATGTACACTTGTTTACTTTATGTCAAACCTACAACCACTGACACAGATGTACTGTTGTCAGAGGTATTCTGCAATCCAGATTGTCTATATGTCAACAAGTAAAATATTATTAAAATTGGGTTCCGATGATTTCTGGCAGTATAACCATATTTTAAAAAATAAACTTTTGCAGTATTAGAAATTTGCTTTTTATCAAATACCACCAGTGACAGAACCAGTCTAAAGATAAGTTCTAGAATATTAGAGTATCTTAAGATAAGACCTAGAAGACAAGAGTATCTTAAGATAAGTTGTAGAAGATTAGAGTATATTAAGATAAGACCTAGAAGATTAGAGTATCTTAAGATACGACCTAGAAGATTAGAGTATCTTAAGATAAGTCGTATAAGATTAGAGTATCTTAAGATAAGACCTAGAAGATAAGAGTATCTTAAGATAAGTTCTTGAAGATGAGAGTATCTTAAGATAAGTCCTAGAATATTAATATTCATTGTCTCATTTGATCAATTGGAAGGTAAAAGGTATAATTCAGGATGCATATTATATTGACAGTACAATGAAATGCAAGTAAAAAATGAAAACCCTTTAATGTTGTATTTATATATCTGTTTTGCATACATCAAAACAAAACAAAGGCATGTAAATAGTACTTAATAATACTGAGAAGCAGTAGGCAGACCGTACCCATTTTTGTACAACTGTAATGTGTAGGAAAATAGATGGTTCATTAACACTTCTGCCATATTATATGTGATGGCTTTTGTTTAATATTTAATTTAAAAAAATGGGTGGTCCTTTATATTTTCAAGGTTCTTTATGGGGGAAAAAAACACTAATGTTTTAAGTGTAAGGTTTAAAATTTATTCAGCACTTTGTTCTCTTTTAATAGGAGGAGGAATTGAGGGAGAGAATGGTTGAGCTGAGGGAGCAGAATGATGCCTATCAAACACAACTGCAAGAGCAAGAGAATCTCCAGATAGAGATTGAGGCAGCACGTGTCCAGGCTGAAGAGGAACGCCTTATGCGCGAGGAGAAGGAACGTGAATGGAGGGAGTCTGAACAGGCACGCATCGACATGGAAGAGAAACTATTGCAGATGAAGGAGTCTGACAGTGAATGTGAGTAGCATTGGAAATCCATCTTCTTCAGTTCGAGAATGTTGAAATCCAGTCACTGCGTAGGATGTATTACATTACATATCTAATTCATTCATTTAGGGCACTGTGTAATTGTAACCCAAGATCTGATCTACATTGATGATCAAAGATGGAACACTTTGATTCCGTAAAATTTGTAGTGTCATATATGGTTTTGAAGATCTTCCCTTCAGATTTGTTTAGAGAACTTCTTTATTCAGCAGAGTTGTTTGTCTCTTAAGCTACTTAAACTTTAACTTGATAAACCAATGTCAAATTATATTGTGATGTTCTGTGAACTTTGTTCTGTTGATAGTGTTCAGCTCTGTCAGTTAAAAGATAGTTTCTTCTATGTAATTGTTTTAATAAATTTCGGGAGATGAAATAGGGATTGACGCCATTACTCCCTTATTCTGACCCTAATTCCATTAAAAAGAATGGATACTTCCAAGATTGGTTGCCAGGATGTTAATGATGCTTGCCAAACAGGTTCTACGGCATACAGGCAATTAGGGTAATGCATGTTTAATTTGACTATATATTGTGTTCTCAGCGGCTGAACTTGTTGGGGACCTTAATGCTCCACGTCCAGAGGAGGACCGAGATGTGTACCAAAAATCTGAAAGCAATAAGGACAGACTTGAGGTAAGTCAGTGATATCGTAAGGTCTAATAAAGATCGGCAAATCATGACAGATCATTCAATTAGATTTTGGTGATCAATAGGTTGAGGTTAAAGGGTTAACTGTTCCACTTGATCACTTTTGAAGTAAAAAGCTTGTGTGGTCTCGTGACCTCTGACAGATATGGTAATTATGTCTCCCCTTCGAATGAAGGGAGACGTATTGTATTAGTACTGGTTCTTCTAATCGCAACTTGTCGGGGCCATAACTTTTAAACCGTTAAAGATATCTTGATGAGACTTTAGGTGTGCGGTGCACTGGAATTAGGTGTGTGACCTTCACCTCAAGGTCAAAGGTCAAATTAGTGCAACATTTTCAGTAAATTATTGTCCGGCCTCTAAATTTTAAACCGTTAAAGATATCTTGATCAAACTTGAAGTATACCTGCATCACCCATAGAAGGTGTGCAGTGCTCTAGAATTAGGTCTCGTGCTTAACTATGTACAGAGTTATGGCCTTCAATACCGAAGTTTGTCCACGGCATAACTTCCATGTTATTTCACCTACTTTGACCAAACTTGTTATAGTTTTAATGTATCTTGGGAAGTAGGAGTGTCGCATTCTAAATTCGGGTCTCGTGCCCCACTCTATAAAGAGATAATATGGCCCTATGTTAATTTTTAAGCCGCTCTTGGCGAGAGCCGAGCGGCTTATTAATTCTGTCCAGAGAACGAAATGACGGACCCACTTCCGTTCGGGGTGCGTGCGCATACTTCAGTCTTGCATGCTTCCGCTATATAGTTTCGTTATCGCAAATAGAAATTAGAATCTCTGACACTCACCTGTGGGTTACATAAAGTCTTCTGATACTCCTCTCTAAATAATAATCCTTACTTTAAATAATTGCTGAAAAAAAAGTTTATCTCCGGTGCATTCTACGAGTGTTATGGTGGTGAAATTCGTGCACTAAGTTTGAGCGTTTTAGCAACTCGGTTTGCGGTCTGAGGAGTGTTACGCGTGTGAAACACATATGATTCGAGAAAGCACATGTGAAGACTGTCAAGCATTGACGCTGTCTGTAGAAGGAAGAAGTAAATATATATACTTATAAACCGTATGAGTGATGAAGTATACCCTCTATTTTGATGTTTGAAACGGGAACGTAATATGACATATCGTGCTTAGGTTGATAACGGTAATGGCTCGGAGACGAGACGATATGTGAACTGTGTATGCTTATCAAACATTTCTGTAACACAGCATGCTATTTCTGGTATATTGATTTATGAAAGTGTAACAATTTAAGAACATGACACAACAGCCGCTGCTGTTTGACAAGAATTGGCGCCGTGTCAAAATAATATCCAATTCGGTGTAAGGGAAATAACTCTTACGTTGTTAAAGATACATTGAGAAATATAATTCAAATATATTCGAAGAACATTTGTAAGATTTTGTATATTCAATGACGGTAAATATAGTCGCTACATATATCAATAATTATAATTAATATGAATAAAAAATAAATAAAAATAAAAGGAGTACAATGTCTCTTTTCTCCATGCATGTTTTCCCACTACTGTTAATTATCCTTCATTTCACAAGCACAAAATGCACCTATTCTTTATTATCCATTCACCGATTGCCATTCTGCACGTAAATGCTCATGTCACATCATTGGAGGATGCTAATTAATGAAAATTACAACAATGCATCACACTTAAAGAGGATGAAAAAAGAGGAGAGGGAGAAATGTTTTTAAAGCATCATTTAAGAGGCGATTGATTTTGAAAATCCCAAAGGCAACATCATCACATGACCTGATTTTCAATTAGCAGAATACAGAACACATATCTGAGGTATTATAGTAGATATTGATGCTCAATGTGTTACTGAAGCAATTAAATTTAAAGTGGTGAGCGGCTGTAATGTCATACTGACATAATTCTAGTTTATACCAAAGTTTGTCTATTGGCTAATAAGGGGAGACATTTGTTTTTGTTCACAAACACAAAATTCTAGTTTTTTTAACACCACAATCAGTTAAGTAACATCAAGTTTTATTAGTTTTTGTGTCGCCGGCAATGCGAGGCATCATATAGGTATTACTTTGTTGGTTGGGGTTGTGGTTGCGGTTGCGGCATCCGAAACAAGGTTTCCGTGCGATAACTTGACTTCCCTTGAGTTGATTGAACTCAAACTTAGAACACATGTTGCATACTAATATAGCGCAGACAAGTACACATTTCAGAAGCTTGCATGCAATGTTAGTGGAGTAATGCCCCTTTTGTTGCCAAATAAGGGCATTGTGTGGTGAATGCAAGAAACTTTTGATAAAAGATTTAATAGCTGACCAATGATTATCACATATTTTATGTTGACAGTCTCTGAGTGCAGAACTTGAGAGGGCAAAGATTGACGGAAAAGAAACAACAAACGACATCCTTCACACAGAGAATGTCAAGCAGGGTCGTGACAAGTACAAGACACTAAAACAGATCAGACAGGGCAACACCAAGAAGCGAGTGGACGAGTTTGAAAGTCTTTAAGACATGCACCATGCCATGTCCTTTGTGATTGAGCTTGGGTGTAGCGACACACTTGTAATGTTGCTCGGCACTTGTCCAGATACAGTTATATATAGACTTATGGGACAGAAAGGAAACGGCTACATCTCCAGAACAAATGTCTATTTTTTACTTGAGAATGTATAAGATTCATATCAGTTTGTTGCCAGTATATATATAATATATATATATATCTGTATGACATTTATATGTAAGTATAAGGGGATGTGTTGGAAGTTGAAAAATATGGAGATAAGTTTAACAAAAAATACTATTGATATTTCAGTTTCCTCTTATGTAAATATTCTAGTATATAAAAGGTATATAGAGGTTTGCCAGTACAGTGGGTCACAGTGCACTGTGGGTGTGGTCAAGGTATACTGTCTCTGATCACTCCCCTACCTGTTTCCTTCTCTTTGCTTTCACTTCCTCCTACTACAAACTATTATGTAAATTAGTTTTGAATGCTAAACCTTGACAGAATTATTGTATTTGTATAATCATGCACTACTATTTAAACATTTTCTCCAGCTTCAAGTGTCTTGTTATTTTCTAATTTCTGTTAATGCAATTGGTTCACCTGAATCCTCTTGGTCAATGACTGTGTTCTTTGTCATATAGAGCAAATTATCGTGGATAATTCATTATTGTATTAGGTATTGATATATCTTATTTAAGTGTACTAGATTACTTATGAAAGTTGCAGAAAGCATGAACAAAGTACGCTGTTCGGCCACAATTTAAAAGGTTTAAAGATCTTTAAAGTTTGCACCTGTAGCTTTGCTGGAACAAGAATGACAGTGCAGATAGATCGATTAATTACTTATACATCTTATTTTCTACGCTTAACAAATCATATTTCTTACAAATCTCCATATTTAATCTTGGATTACTCAATATATATTAAATTTCAACAGGTCTTAAGTTTTTTTTGTAGATATCAAAATATTACATAGATACCATGATAATATAAAGTTTGTTGTAAGAATTTTCTATTGTACTATGAAAACCAGTTATACCGACCAGTTGTATTTCATAAGAAGTTGTGGGGACGCCTGTTGTATGACATTAGAGGTGGGGCACACTATGATGGCGTGTCACAATGTCCATTCCAGTAGAATAGGGTTGATATTTAATCATGGGAAATATACTTAGAAATGCAAGTTAATTATTCCCTGATCCTGCTGAGACCAGATTATAGAAGACAACTTTCAAGCATGATAAAGAAAGTAAAACACCTACCCTAATACCATTTTCATTATTTAGTTAAAATTATACACAGAAAATGTATTCAATTTATTATATTTCTACTGTAATAATATTACTTTTTTGTTAATTTTTTATGTGATTGGAAATTAATTTGGTCATGTATTTACATGTGTATTTCATTTTCATGTTTTGGATGGTATCTTCGTCATAGCTGATATTATATATCTATATATAGTTAGTAGCTTCCTTATTTGAAAAGAACAAACCTTTTTACATTAATCATCACCCTTGTTCTTTGTCCTCGTTGTTATTAAATATCCCTTTTTTTTTTACATGTCTTTATTCTTTATTTAGCTTTCATATAGCTGTTCATTACTCATAGAGCCTAAGCAGAGTGTATATGTTATGTTGAAGGAACTATTGGGTTATACCATGTTACCGTTTTCAGCTGTAAAATACAGGACAGTCTAGTGCTAAATTTATATTAAGGAGTCTACAGCCATGAAACGGAACAAGATATCTTCATTCCAAAACGGAGCTGTACATATGAAAGTGTAAAAGTGCATGTATCTAACAAATTATCTTAACTATATACTATAACTTATAACAGTTGCAGGTTGCTTACAGATATTAATTACTGAATTTTTGTAGGGGTATTTTATTTTAAAGTGGCAATTAGTATTTGCCTGATGAATTTGTGATAATGTTGATTACAAAGTTGTTCTTTGAACGGCAGTTTAGTTGTAATGGTTCACAGTTTTTGTAATGAAATCTGCAGGAAATAGGATTATGATGTATATGAACTCATTCACCCCTGAAGACACATTTGAACTCTTCCAATTCATAGGTTGGAATAGTTCATTATTAAATTTCAGGGGTGAAAGAGTTAAACCTCTTTACTTATTATTCAGCTGATATGATATGCAGTACTTAACATTAATAAGTTCTCAATTGTTTGGCATATGTACTGACCACATTTAGGTCTCGATGATATATTCAGTTTTAGAAAGTGCAGAGTAATGTATGGGATGAAAACAAGTGCTTTATCTGTGTGGTCACAGACATCTTTGTTCATTTTCATTAAAGTATCGGTGACATCATGTTCAGTTACAATTATCATGATATGTAACACTAGGGGGAAAATCTTGTGTTCATGACCTGTGTGAAACCTTCCGTGAGTTTCTTGTTTAATAGTGTCACATTTCCTAGTGTCCCCCCCCCCCCCCCCCCCCCATACTACACCTTGGTGAAATCCATTGCGGTGTTGTATGAAGGATAGGCTAGAAGTAAGCATTGTCCATTCAGTCATTGTGATAATAGCTGCCAGCTAGAGATGTCAAGTCCTTACATTTTTTATCATTATTATTATATGACTGTCTTGGGTTGTGTAAGTCCAAAACATAATTGCCTGATATTATCACGTGTAATTAGCTATGCAGTATTGCTGGTTGTAAAAAGCTTCAACAAAAGTTCAACATCCTTCCATAAAATTATATGTAAGGTCGAATAGCAGGGATAGATTTATGTTTAACATAGTTAATTTTGTTTTGTTTATAAATAAAAGGTAGTAAATTGTGATAACAGCCAACTTTAGTATCTCAAGGCTGTGTGAAGTACCGAAGTATCTTGCCTGCATATTTATCTATACTCACCTCAAACGACGAAGGCTTGTGGGAGTGACAATGGAACTTTATTTGTCAGCTATTTATGATCGTCACAAAGGTGGACTCTGCATGTTTTCTCTACTTACGTCTACTGAACTATCACAATATCAGCTAAACCATGGCCTGTCCATTGATGCAAAAATGCTTGCTCCAAATAGTATTGTAGATTATATTATTAATCTGAGATGTCTCATGGAAAACGTATACCATCTATTAAATGAATAATGATATGTAATTGTCAAAATAAAATCATTGGAGTAATGGTATATAGATTTGGGTTATTTATTGTCTTCCTACCAAAGCAATCCTGTCAGATTTGTTTACCCCCACTACGAAAGAATCTTTTATACTCTAGGGGTTATTCTCATTTTTTCCCCTCTCTGCACCCCTGGAATATGTTATAGCAAAATTGAAGACTTTGTGAGCACCATCTTGTGGATGAGAAGGGAAGACTAGTTTTATCCTTTGATGTATAGCAAAAGAATGTGTTACAGTAAATTTTAATGGCTTTGAAGACAGGTGTCTCTCCTCTATAATCTTCAAAGGACATGTACCATACTAGCGATTGGTCAAGTTTTTTTCACCCGAGACTAATCAAATAAGCTGCATGATCAATTTTGCTACGACATATTCCAGAGAGGCAGAGAAAGTGAGATTAACCCCAGGAGTATCCAGGATGCTACGAGAGTGATTTGTTCATGTATTGGTAAGATTTTGCGAGATCTTGCAGCAGCAGAACTTTCTTTTCAAAATGGATGCTACATTGTAACTGGTCATGTTACAGTAAAAAGTGACAATGTTGTGGGAGTTTTCCCAAGACAATCATGACCAACAATGTGATAAATGAAAAATGGATGGCACAGACTCGGAGTTGATGACTTTTTTTTACAGTCAATTTTGATGCTTACTTTGTGAGGTTAGTGACATAAAGACAGAAACTGAATCAACAAGAACTTATTGAATTGAATAATGGAACTGCTATTTCCAGGTTGTGTTTTGGATCAGTTGGACTTGAAACAAGGGACAAATCAAATAACATTACAGAGACGGTTGGCCTATCCTGAATCAGGAACTGATGCTAGACCAACAACCAACAACTACCTAGTTATTTAAACGCTGAAGGGCACAAAGCCTTTGGTCAAAAACAGTCTTCTTTTACCTAGTAATTTAAACGCTGAAGGGCACAAAGCCTTTGGTCAAAAACAGTTTTAAACATAACCTCTCTATATCTCGAAAGAAATGCAAAATAATAATTATATAGATTCTAATAATATTAATAATAATTGGAGATTCTTATATACTGCTTTATCACAACCTAGTTCAGAGGTCTTCTCAAAGGGGTTCACAAATTATTATCCGTGGTTATAGGGCATTTGCAACCAGCCAAAATCTTTCTCAACTCCCTGGGGAGCATACAGCCAGTGTTATCATTTCGGCGCTCACAGCTAGCATTCTACAATTCTAGCACTGCCCAACCACGTACTCATTTACAACTGAGTAGACTGGAACAAGCAGAGTAAAGTATCTTTTTCAAAGATGCAACACATCGCTGTGCCGTGACTTGAACCCACAACCCTAGGTCACGAGCCTGGCGTCCTATCACCAGACTACCGTATCTCCTTAAACCTCCCAGCAAACCAATTTCAAAGTGAATGGCATCAACAAGGTCTCTGGAGACCAGCAACAAACTTTTTAAGTGCAAACAAAAATTACACCTTGTGTGCCCAGTCGGAGAGACAGTAGAGAGGAGGCTGTCCTCTGTCGGCTCCGTACTGGTCACGCTTATCTCACTCGTGCTTATCTGCTAAATAGGGAGATCAACTTATATGCCACACATGTGACTCTTCATTTACAGTGGAACCCATTTTAATAGAATGTTCAGATTTTAGATCAATTTATTATAAATACTTACATGTCACAGACATAAAAACCCTTTTCACTTCCATAGACTTTGAGGCATTATTCAACCAACTATATAAAAGACATGAGTCTGTTTTATAAATTGTGATTCCATTAACTGACAGGACCTTTTTTATGGCATTCATCAATATCTCTTTCCATTTCTATATTTACAAATTTTTTAACTAAATTTTCATACTTTACCTCCATGCACTATTTTAACTCTCTAAGCCTGTCCTGCTGCTGATTTTAAAAGATAAACAACATTTGATATGTTTTTAATTATGATTCCTCTAATGGTTGCCTAATACTTACCATTCTTCAGTTATGATTCTTCAGGCCCAAAATGACCATAGTTATTCGATGACGGTTAAACTCAAACAAACTGTAACCTTGAAAGTAGGTCAACGTCCTGTGATTATGACTACCCGTAAGCTCTATGTCACTCTATTCCAGTTACCTACTGGCCAAATATCAGGATCCAAAACATTATGGATGTTAGAGAGAAGACTCTGAAAGTATCATGAGGGTTTTTCCATGTTGATCTTTGACCCTGTTCAGTGCTTTAAAGTTCATACGACCTCAAGACAAAATGTTAAAAAAGGATTTGCACTGCTAGACTACATAACATTGGGATATCATGGCTCCAGGCCCTGTGAGTTTTTACATAACGCTGTTATATTCAGTGCATTATTCCTGGTACCTACTGAACAAATGGGCTTTATGGAACTTATAAACATTATTCTTAGAGCTATTCTATCCCATGTTGATGATATTTGACTACATCACAATATACATGTATTAGGAAAAGATTTGCACAGCTGGTCTGCTACACAACACACTAAAGCATCAAGTCTCGAGATATATATTGCCTCATATATATGATATTTGAAAATATTAAAAGAGTATTTATCTATTACAGTCCATGCTGATACACATTTGACCCTCGCCAATGTTCAAAGTTGACATTGGACTTTATTCACACTGCTGGTCTACATTCCCAGGTATCACACTACTTAGTGACACTCTAGACAGTATTGTTCTTAAGATAATTTGTTAAAAGTTTATCATATTCAATATCCATAACCTTGAAAGCAGGTCAGAGTCATCTGCAGGGGGTGACTATACATGTATTAGCATTCTATCCTTGGTACCTTTTTAGGCTTTTGGCCTATTACCTGTATCAGGATAGTTGGTCTTTTACTTTTCAAGAAGAAGTTGAACAAAGAATGGAGGTGAGGCGGTAAACAATGGACTACAGATGTTGCACCATACCATAAGCTTACAGGCACTTTGTCAGGTGAGTTAAAAATAGGTCAGTTTTATTTCATTATATTTGAACGTATTGAGAGGTGCGCATTGCATACAAGAAAAAACAACTGAATAACAAAATGCCTGAAGATGCTCACCTGATTTATTTGGTCTTTCTTACTCAAACTGTGTAGCACTCTAGGCCAGCAAGCCACTGTCAATATAGCATTGTTCTTGATTATTTGGTTTTCCAGAAGAAATCATTTGGACATTAAAAAAAAGAGGCCCAGGGGTCTTCATAGCTCACCTGGTATTTCATTTTCAATTTAAAACCTACCCAGTACCTGATATACCAGTCCCAGTACCTTATATACCAGTTTATCAAAGGAGTACAAGTTGCAAGAAGGACTACATGTAAATCTATTTGGGTGGATAAGACACCAGAAACATGAGTGCATTCTTCATGTCCAGCTAAGGATTTTTAGCTCACCTGCCTGAAGGGTGTAGCACCCCTAGGGCCAATCAGGGAGAACAAGGAAAATGTATAAAACCCTTCTCCTGTGAAATAGATGTATTTGAACCCATTTTGTGTAGAGCATCCTTAGGCGAAAGGGACTCAATTTTAAGCTCACCTGGTCCGTTCGTCCGTCGTGCATCATCCGTCCGTCCCTACTTTTCCTAAAGAGGTGAAACCTTTAGAATCCTTCTTCTATCGTTGGGATTAAGGGATTCTATCCTAATTTCGTCTTAAGCATCCTTGGGCCAAGTCTGAACGGGACTTTATTTTGTATAAACGGTGGGTGTGGCCCCCCTGTGGGCAGAGGGGTGGGGTCGAATAGGGGAAATAGAGGTAAACCTTTAAAATCCTTCTTCTACCATAGGGATTAAGGGATTTCATCCCAATTTTGTCTGGAGCATCCTTGGGCCAAGGGGACTCAATGTTGCATAAATGGTAAGTGTGGCCCCACTGGGGGCAGAGGGGTGGGGCCGAATAGGGGAAATAGAGATTAACTTTTAAAATTTAAAATCCTTCTTCTACAATAGGAATTAAGGGATTTCATCCCAATTTTGACTTGAACATGCTTGGGCCAAGGGGACTCAGTTTTGTATAAAAGGTGGGTTTGGACTCCCTGTGGGCAGAGTTGTGGTGCCCAATAGGGGAAATAAAGATAAAAAAAAATGAAAACCTTAGGGATTTTCTCCCAATTTAGCCTGGTTTATCCTTGGGCAAAGGGGACTTAATTTTGTATAAATGAAGTTTGAGGTCTCTCTTGTTGCTGAGAGTTGCAGGGCCCAATTTTTCTGTACCATTGGAGGGATTTTATGTCATAAGAATAATTTCCCATGGTTGCTTTAATTCATTATCCAGGTCAGCGATGCAGGCCCTCTGGGCCTCTTGTATATAAATGGAAGGTATTTGGGGCAAAGGGGCAGGGCTAAAAAGAGGTAACTTGGTCATAATGCTTAAAGTCAGTTGAAGGGCTGACCCCTTGGTCTGACGGGCGGGGCTAAAAGAATTTTTAACTTCGACATCATCTAGATACCTACCCTATAACCATATAAACAAGAGGCCCAGAGGGCTTGTATTGCTCACCTGAATATTTTTAAAATAATTGGTATGTAGGTGTTGTAAGTACATATGAAATTTCAGAAAGATCCATCCAGTACTTGAGATATAGCTAGATCAAACTTCAAACAGAGCCCCACCCGTATGCCCCTAGAGGGTCCCCCTATCGGGCCACGCCTCTCAGGGGCCAGACCCCCTGTTTATACAAAATTGGTTCCCCTTTACCCAAGGATGCTTCAGACCAAATATGGAACAAATCCTTTCATTCCTAAAAAAGATGAAGGATTTTAAGAATTTGCTATTTCCACTATTGGGCCCCGCCCCTTAGGCCCCGCATGGGACCGACCCATGGTTTATACAAAATTGGTTCCCCTTTACCCAAGGATGCTTCAGACCAAATATGGAACAAATCCTTTCATTCCTACAGAAGAAGAAGGATTTTAAAGAATTTGCTATATTTCCCCTATTGGGACCCGCACCTCTGAGGCCAGACCCGCGGTTTATACAAAATTGGTTCCCCTTTACTCAAGGATGCTTCAGACTAAATAT